AAAGAGTGTCATGCCGTCGCATTTCAGTAGCCTGGTGATGAGGATTGTGATGAGACGTCTACATGGTTTACAGTATTTCCAAACTTCAAGAAAATACTACAGTGGCAGAGATGAGGGTAAGCCTACACAAGGAAAACAGGTTGCCAACCTACCCCTTACAATTTGCTCAAGACTAAAAGAAACTCGGAGAACACAACTAAATGCATAGCATTTTACTGTTACTAGTGCTTCCACAGGGTCTGTGGACACTTCTGTTATTTCAGTCCAAACACTGCTGTATGTGGGAAAAATCTTTCAGAATACAGCAAAACAATTTAAATGGTGTTTAGACTGGGTGTGTGGGGAGGTACAGGGGTGTTAACCTTAATAAAGTACATGTTGGGGAATATTTAACCTATCACAGCATTATTTCACTGCATGTTTTTCCACGAACTCCCACTTCAACTCAAAGTATTACTCAGCCTTTACCATGAACCTAATAATTGCTGGAAACTACAGAGGACTACCTGGTATAATCAAAGGAACATTTTTAAGCCTTTATGTGGGGAAAACCCCATATATTTAACAAAACATCACAGTAACACTCATGCCACAGTGGAGATGTTGGCATAGTACTGTCGGTTCTGTCACTAAGAAACTGATGTTTAAACCTTCATGTTCACCCCTTAGGATTCTTTCAGTGAATTGATACGTGCACAGATTTTCAATGCAGGTCCAAGCTTAATATTCATTGCACTCATAAGGTGATCCTCCTTCAACAAGAGGAGTGCTTGTCCATCTATTTCTTGTGCTCTAAATTCATCCGCAATATCTTGACAACCTACAGGGCAACATAAAAAAGAATTACTGGGTTAGAAATGTGCATTCTTCGATGCAATGACTCTGTCCATGCTAGAGCTTTTCAACCACACAACTTCCAGTGCTTGTCCTTTTAGCTTGTGGAACGTAAGCTACATGCGATGTTATGATGGCAACTTCCAAGATAATCTGAAAGTAATTTTTACTGCAGTCTCCAATTACACTGTAATTATTAGAGAATTATCCACTGGGAACTCCAAGTCCTAGCACAGACAGCTTTCTCATTTCATTAAGAGGAACAATCGCCATGATCTCACAAATGGAATGGAGTTCAATACCACTGACATAGCAATCAGGTAAGAGCATAATTCAAGTGGGTTATTTCCAGCAATAAAAAGATGTGCACATTCTATTGCTATGTACAACTCCGAGAAAATTCACACAACTACAATTTCCAAAAGGTATTAATTTCATCTGTATGTAACTACCACTGGGTTAAGTAAACAGAATTCTGATTTACGGGCTTTAGCATAACTGTCTCAAAGACATTTATCATCAGTTACCTGAGTGAATATTCTATACACAGCAGTAAGTCACTTCACAAGTACAACTTTGAACTAGTGGGATTTTATTTTAAATTATAAACTCTTTTTCTGAACATGAAATAACATGGTGTCAGGTTACTGAGGCCTACAACATAAGAAAAAGGACTCTTCATGGGTTGGACTGTCCCAGATAGCTGAGGGCCCCTTTCCACTGAAGAACACTGCAGAAACAAAAGGTTCCTCAAAAGATGTTCTGGACATCAGTTAAGCAGAAGCAGTCTGCTATGCCTGGGTGTATGGCAGCTCTGTTGTATCGACAAATGTCTTCCAACAACGTGAATAAGAGCACTCATTGTCAGTTGTTTATTTGAAGCTTCTTTCCCCATAGCCACATTTTTCCTGTTTCTAATATATTTGTGTTCTCAGTCCAGTGGTCCCTCTGTCTCTCTCTCAGCCTTTCAGACACATTTTAATTTGTGTTCCACCTTCCACTCCTGCTTTTAATTATTCCTTGGTTAAGCCTACTTTTTGGCACTTTTATATTTTCCCCTTTTCTATAGTACTATACTCTATACTATATATCTATACTATTAGAGATATGAAAATACTGTGAAGAACTCTTTTTCCACCCCAGATGAGAGAAATTGACTAATTTCATGTCCTCTTACATGTTCAGACTTAAATTCTTTAAAGAACAGATATTCTAATTTCCTGAAAGATTTACATATGTATAAGAGACAAACAGAAAGGAAACGCGGAAGGAAGTATCGACATCCAAACCTTAATTCATATAGATTATTACTGTGTAGTGGTCGTAACATTCAAGGTTGGAAAAGGTAGCTTTTCATAAAGAATAAAGCACAATTTTTTTCTTAATGATTTGTTAAACAGACCTCATGCAACAATTAGCTGCCGCTTTATTAAGGAAAGGGAAAAATTAAAAGATAATTTGAAAAGAGAAAGGTTGTCCTATGGAATTTTATTGTAGCCTCTGGCTACACCTCTAAACCTCTGTAGCTGAGGTTACAACTGTATAAGCTACAGTCCCAAAAGTAAAAGAGTTACTCTGTAGCAGCTGGCTAACTTTTAATCAAGACTAAGGACTATTTTGAGTAGCATTTAAAACACCGCAGCTTTAAGACATGATAAACACCCAGTCCTTGGGTATTATTTACGGTAACTAGAAATGAGAGTGGTATCTTTTGAAGAAAAAAACCCAAATTATTTTGTCACAAACAGTATTTCTATAGCCACTAAGGCCACTAAAATGTTTGAGTGCTTGCATGTATTCCGTAACATTTACATCTAATACTTCTGGTACAGTGATGCACTAGTGCAGCCCAGCTACAAACTGTACCACAATCAGTAAGAGAACGTTCTTCAGGAGCCCAGAGTTGTCAGAGAGCTCCTGGAACCGTGCTACCCATTCCAGCTACCAAGAGAAGATAATGGTGCCAGTAACGTGAAGAAAAATCCTAAGACAACTGACCATTCTCAGGACGATTTAACAGCTCTATCATCATCATTAAGGGTCTTATTTATGTGTTGACAGCAGACAAAAATGTCTGCAAGTCAAGTACTAAGTATGTATTTCTGTGAAAGGTATCACTGTATGTCTGACTTGAGACCTGAACACGGTGATTCAGACCACAGCATTTACAAAGAACCTGAGAGATCAAGAGAAGTTTTTACATTTAGGAACAAATATTGTCCTACTGAAATAGATAACTGGTTGTTGTTGCAGGCTTTCCTCTTTAAGCAGCACATGAAACATTTCCATGCGACTTCTCCTAAAATACCTTTTATCAAAGTCATTTTGGAAAAGTACAGGATGAAAGTTGAATGTACTTGAGTTCCCTCATCCAAGCACATCTGGGTTAAGTACTTTTGCAATTGGTGGTTGTGCAATAACTTCACTAAAAATAGGATGGGAAGTGGGTGAAAGACCATTAATCTTGCAATTGAAGAAAGAAAGAAGGAACAACTCTGCTGGGGCTTGAACTGTTCTGTTTCCTCCCCCAGAAGAAATAAGTAACAGTAGAAGTGTCCTACAATCTTCATTTCTCCAAAAGACTCCAGAGGAGTTCAGGAAAAGCCTGACAAGGACACTTCACTCTGCAGTTACATCTCAGCTACAGACTCTATGCAGAAAGCTGTAAATTAAAACAGATGTTCCTCATGTTTATGAAAAGCTGACACATCACCATCTCCTACAACATGGGAGATGGTCTGCATGGACTACACCAAGCATCTATTGCAAAATAGCATAATGAAAGTAAATTATATTACTTCTTGTATTATTCAACTCTGACAGTGTATGGAAAAATATTTTTGTAAGAGTGGCTGGAGAACACATTGCAAAATTGCCAAAAAATATGAATGTAGCTATGTAACAATAAAAATTCTGGCAGGTTGTAAATATAATTTTAAATACCTATTGAACTTTTTTTTTTTTTAATTTGAGAAACTAGGATTTAGTATGATGGGAATGAATAACTATAATAAATTTTCATTAAATGCATAAAAATACAAAGGTTTTTTTTTAAAATCAAATGTTACCTTGCTTGTAGAATACAAAAAACCCCAGATCTAGCAGCTGGTGAAATATTCCACAAGTCATGGTTTCAAAATAGAAACCACCTTTTAAAAAAAATATTTTTATTTTCATACTTGCAAATGAATTGCGTTCACATGGTACTTTAAGTTTTCTAGGACAGAAACTATCGTTTATTCCTTTGCAGAACATAGGATCAGGAAGTTTTTGAATTAACTACAGCCTCAAATCTATAAAAATATTAACTCAAAAGAACAGTGATATAGTCCTATTCCAGTAACACAGCTAAAGTGCAGAAACATGAATGACCATGTTTTAAATCTAAGGAGCTTTGCTTGCTTTTACAGACATCACTGCAGGTTCCCAGAAGCAGATAATGTAACTTAATTGGAATTTATAAACCGTCTGAAGAAAGGTACTTCCAGGATGACTTTTGCTGATCTAAGACATCCTTTTCTCAATTCTTTGCCTGACCTTCTTTATGAAAAAATAACTGTCAAAACCCATGGGTATGACTTAGCAACGAAGATATATTCCTTACAGGTTATCAGCCTAATGGGATACACAGAAAATTGGTTTAGCATTTCTAAAGTAGGAAACTAGGAACAAACTTAACCTGGGTTTCAATGTTTTGACATGAGTTACATGGGCAAGCAACAAAAATTCTTTTACGATTCTTGTATGACTGCTGTTATGGAGACCTGCCTTGTTACCTGGAAGGATTACAGTATCTGCTGAGATAGAATAGCATCCTTGGGAAAGAGGGGGGAGTGAAACTTCAAAGCTTATGATAGTTAAGGAATGATAAATAAATCTCAAATAACTTGAAGACGATATAAAGATCACTGTGAATATTGAGCTAAAGAAAAGGTTTATAAACACAGAGAAACAAGATCATTGTTTGTGGGGAACAGACTTTGTGTCTACCAGTATGCAGAGTCTACATGCAGAAGTTGTCTCCATTCCAGTTACTGAGCAAAGCTATGCAAAACAAAGTTTAGCTTTATAGAAGAAACTCGCTTATTCTTTTTTAATGACTTACATCAGGACAGGTCTTTCAAATTGTTCAGTTGCGTAAAATCGCTTCTACTGTATAAGCAGCAAGTAAGGAGGGAAGAGAAGAAAAAAGTAAAAGGGAGGAAGTGGGTCTGATCTCTCTACTGACCTCTTGAGAGAAGTCAGACTGAAGGGAAGAACAGCTCTAATCTCCATCAGCTGGGATGCAAAAGCAGAAGTGGGACTAGTTCTATCAACGTGCGATTTGTGCTGAAGGAACAAGCAAGACGAAACAAATCACATTCCAGTTTCTACCACCAACCAACAAGTACACCAGTGCTGTAACCACACCACCTCCTCATCACACCAATGCTAAAAAGCAAGGAGCTTTACTGTTGTTAAAAAAAAAAAAAAAAAAAAAAAATTTCTTTACAGGTTAAAGGTGTAGGCAAAATGTCTGTGCTTGTGTGATTAGAATTGCCTGGGTGTAAGGGAAGAAGTTATTGCACATACCAGGCAAAGAATGTATGAAGGCCCAGACTTCATCAACAGTCCATACTGATGGGTCAGCTTGCACTACCGGCAACAAGTCAATGCTCTCTGGCATCTTCCTAATTCTTAGTTCCCTAAGTTCACGCTCTCTCTCTCTTTCACTCTGTCTTCGCAGTCGGGTGGTCATGGCAGCTGGAACAGCATCTTCATGAGAAGCCACATCTTCTTCTGCAGATGGATAAGTAATTGGAAGCTGGAAAATGTAGTACAAATACACTACAGTATTATATTTTATTTGCAATTCCCAAAACAATGCCATAGGTTTAAGCAAATATTCCACAGACCTGTCTAAGAAAATGATCTCGTGACGCCCCATCAGGGCCACTCGGTCGACGCCCGCGTCGCCCAAGACTTTGGCTATCTGATTTCCGATTCCAGCGACTGGTCTTGTCTGATGTAAACAGCCCAAATTTCTTAGTGCAACTAAGACTGTGCCTAAAGAAGTAAGATATATTCAATAATGCACTAGTAGATTTTAGGACTGCATTCACTCCAGTAACAATAAAATCACATTGTTGTCTACAGAAATGCTGCCCAATCAAAGACATTACCAGGTGTCACAAATCTAAGAGAAGGGTATCTCAAAGGCCATTTGCTCAAACCCCTTGTCTTGATGCAAGATCAAATACATCTCAATCACAGAATCACAGAATGTTCGGGGCTGGAAGGGACCTCTGTGGGTCACCCAGTCCAAACCCCTGCCGAAGCAGGGTCACCTACAGCAAGCTGCACAGGACCGCGTCCAGGCGGGTCTTGAATATCTCCAGAGAAGGAGACTCCACAGCCTCCCTGGGCAGCCTGGGCCAGGACTCCGTCACCCTCAGAGGGAAGAAGTTCTTCCTCATGT